AAAGGAACAAATCACAGATACACAACAAGAAATGACTCCAAGCCTGCATTACGCTAAGCTAAAGAAGCCAGACAAAGGGCAACACATTCTGATTCCACTATGTACTATTCTTAATGAAGGCCAAACAACAGGACAGACATCAGTTCAGTTCCCAGAGGCTGAGGATGCAGGGGGGCGACTGATTGCAAAGGAACACGAGGAATAATGTTCCAGGGTGGAATATGCTACAGAACTTGAATGTGGTGGTGGCGACACAACTGTATGCATTTATCAAAATCCATAGGATGGTATACTTACACAGGGAGATTTTTACTATATGTAAACCATACCTCGAAAAATCTGGCCCTGGTGACTCAGCCTGTAATCCCAGCAATTTGGGAGGCTAAGGCAAGTGGATTGCCTGAGCCTGCGGGCTCAAGACCAGTCCGAGCAACTTAGCGAGACCTCATTTCTACAATAAATCAAAACTTAGCTGGGCATGGTAGCGCGGGCTTGTAGTTCCAGCTACTTGGAAGGCTGAGGCAGAAGGATCACCAGAGCCCAGCAGGCTGACACTGGGGTAGCTGTAAGTGTGCCACTGCATTCCAGCCTGGGCAACAGAGTGAGATTCCAACTCAAAAAAAAAAAAAACGGACCCACCTCCACACCAAAAACCAAACCAATGGGGGCATTATAAAGGGCACAGGAGTCTGTTTGAAGTAGAATTTGTACATCAAAATGAATGGCAATGGAATAATACTTTAGGGTCACACATAGTGGCTCACACTTATAATCCCAGTGCTTTGGGAGGCTGAGGTGAGAGGATTGCTTGAGGACAAAGGTTTGAGACCAGCCTGGGCAGCATGGCAAGACTCCATCTCTGCAAAGATAAAAAAATTATCTGGGCATGGTGGCACAGGCCTGCAGTCTTAGTTACTCAGGGGGCTGAGGTGGGAGAACTCCTTAAGCCCAGACATCCAAGGTTACAGTGAGCTGTGATGGTGCCACTGCAGTCCAGCCTAGGCAAAAGAGCAAGACCTTGTCTCTTATTCAAGAAAAAGGACAAATCACCGGGACAACTGGTAAAATGTGAATATAGGATAGCATAACAAGAATGCTAAATTTCTTGTATTTAATCATTAGATCGTGGCTATTTAAGAGAATGTGCTTGTTTTTAAGAGGTACATACTAAAATATTAGGGGTCAAAGGTGTGTGCTTGTTTTTAAGAGGTACATACTAAAATATTAGGGGTCAAAGGTGTGATATCTGCCACTTACTATCAAATGGTTCAGCAAAACTAAAAGACAGAAAATAAAGTAATATGTATATTGCCAGGAAAAGTAAAATGCTACCCACTGGTGAATCAAAGTGAAAGTTATCTTCACTGCCCTATTCTTGCAACTTTCATACACGTCTGAAATTTTTAAAAATAACTGTTGGAAAGACGTCTAGGAGAGACAGGTGACCCAAGAAGTGGCTGTGCAGTGCCTGAGCTGGGGTGCAGGAGCCTCGCATGGCAGCCAGGAGCTCCTCCAAGAGGGGTGTGGGTAGGACTGCCTGTGCCTGGCAACTGACTTTAAAGAGCTTCTCCAAGCGCCAGACCCCAACAGCCTGATGCTGGGATGCTTCATCCCAAAGCAGTGTTTTCCACGTTTTCAGGTGAGACTTGGGGTGGACAGGCAGCCACCATAATGGCTCTCTTCAAATTCACAGCCCCGCCCTCATCAGGATTCCATTAATCTGAGTGTGATCAGGTCACAACTGCTTCAGGATGACAAATATCAATTAACACCATTACATTTCTAACAACACTGTGCTTTATCAAAAATCAAGCTAAACAGCTTGGACCCAGGGCTATACAAGAACCAGGTTTTTGGCCCCAGACAGGCAACCCCCGTCCACTCCCACTGTGGAAGCTTCTCTGTTTTCTCAATAAATCTGGCTTCCTCAAACAAAAAAAAAAAAAGTCAAACTGTATGCATTTTCCAAAAACTGTTTAAATGGCTCCTGTCTTCTCCTATTAAATCACCTAACCTCAGCCGGGCTTGGTGGCTCAGCTTGTAATCCCGTGCCTTTGGGAGGCTGAGGTGAGTGGATTACCTGAGCCCGTGGGTTCGAGACCCACCTGGGCAACTTGGTGAGACCTCATCTCTACAATAAATCAAAAAATGAGCCGGGTGTGGGAGCGCGCCTATAGTTCCAGCTACTCGGAAGGTTGAGGCAGTAGGATCGCCGGAGCCCAGCAGGTCAAGGCTGTGGTGGCCGGGAGTGGCCACTGCACTCCAGTCTGGGTGACAGAGTGAGACTCCAACTCAAAAAAATAAAAAATAAAAAAATAAATCACCTAACCAGCTGGGCACAGTGGCTCATTCCTGTCATACCAGCACTTTGGGAGGTAGAGGCAAGAGGACTGCCTGAGCCCAGAGGTTCGAGATGAGCCTGGGCAACTTGGTGAGACCGTGTCTCTATAATAAATCAAAAAATCAGCTGGGCGTGATGGCTGCCTGTAGTTCCAACTACTTGGAAGGCTGAGGTGGGAGGATCACCTGAGCCCAGGAGATCAAGGCTGTGATGGCCTTGAGTATGCCACTGTACTCCAGCCTAGGTGTCAGAGTGAGACTCTGAATGAATGAACGAACGAATGAATGAATGAATAAATAAATACTTAACCCAGCTTCCCATGTGACAGCTTTGGTAGCAAAAAACTTAGTCAAATATTAACTAAGCATTTCCTGAGCATCCAGTACATGCCAGGTAAACTTCCAGGTGCAATAGCGAAGTAAGCCCTTGCTTAACTCAATGATGGGAGCCAATACGAGCCTTCTGCTGTATGAGTAATTAATATATGTACTCATATTAACAAATTCAATGCCACCACTACACACCGAAATATTAGTTTAAAAGATACTCTTGGCCGGGCTCAGTGGTTCAGCCTGTAATCCCAGAACTTTGGGAGGCCGAGGCAAGTGAATTGCCTGAGCTCACAAGTTTGACCAGCCTTGGCAACTTGGCGAGACCTCGTCTCCACAATAAATCAAAATTTAGCCAGGCGTGATAGCGTGCCTGTAGTTCTAACTACTTGGAAGGCTGAGGTAGAAGGATCGCCGGAGCTCAGCAGGTCGACGCTAGGGTGGCTGTGAACCTGCCACAGCACTCCAGCCAGGGCGATGGATGGAGTAAGACTCTGACTCAAAAAAAAAAGATATCTTCCACCAGAGGGTGCTCCTACAATTTCTTTTATGGGATACTTGACAATCCCGTTGTATGTTACAAATTCCTGAACACAGGTTTGAAAGCCAGGTTTGAAACAAAAGAGAAAGTAGGAAGGAAACAATCTGGCCCCCAAACCCCACAGACCAAGCATATAAAACAGTAGTCTCTCACTAAGGCTCCACAAAGCTCTGTGATTTGGGGTGCCAAACCTCACAGGAACCCAGGGCTCTTAAAGAGCAGGTGCCTCTGGAACCCTGGGAAGTCAAGTATTTCCCATCAAGGGCTCCTTCCAAACCCCCCGCCCCACAGTCTGTCCAAACTCACCCATACCACACTAATCTTTGGGCAAGAAACAGAAGCATGGCTCCTCTTTCCCGAAATGGGCCCAAGGGACCTCATGACTCTTGGGGACACAGCTCCCCACTAGCTTCCCCGCAGCCACAAGCTCTCTGTAACCACCATTCTGTGTGTTACCCCATCTTACCACTACCCCATCCACACAGATGGAGAGGCGGGAGGGAGAAGACACTGACTCTCTACCCAGGAGGAGAACCACAGAAATCTGGTCTCACTTTCTGGGAATGGAGAGGTAGGACTTTTGCGGGGGAAATGGCTGGAACAAAGAAAATTCCAGCACACAGGCTGGCCCTGATCACCCTGGGTACCCTTTCCCCACTGCCCCGTGGCAGGCAGGGAAGACCCATCAGTCAGAAGCATCATCCCTCAGCTGAAGGACGGACTACAATTGGGGTGAGTTTAGGATGCTAGCACACGGCAGGAAAAAAATGTTATGACCATCAGGCATGAAATTTGGGGGTGATCTGTAACTGTAAAAAAACACTAGAAAATTATTTTATAAGATGACAAACTTCAGGTCGGCCTTAAAATATATATATAGTCCATAATCAAGCATGGAAATCAACAGAAAGAATTTCCCATGTCAGACTTTTATTTGTAAGAAAAGTCACCAAAAAATCCTCCCTACCCAGTCTCTTTGTATTGACTATGCCGCCTTTTAAGGAAATATGTACTAAATGTACCTTATTTTCCATTTTGAACACACAATCACTAATTGTTATTTTTAAACCACAAGGACTCCAACAACAAATGAAGTTATTAAACAGGAATTGGGGCAAACGCTAGGCAATGACAAAACCCATGCCCTTTTCAAAATGACTCTGATGAGATTTTTAGAAACCAAAGATGCTTTTGTGACTGATGAAAGTGACTGACTCCCGCAAACACTACAGGTGTGAACATTAACCCAGCCTTCCTTCAACCCAACTGAGACAGTCATGGCCCACCTAGAGATTGTGGCTGTCCCTAAGCTAAGGACTCCTGGAAGAAGAGAATAACGCTTTGCTGAATATGTTTGAATCTGGCCAGGCGCAGTGACTCACACCTGTAATCCCAAAACTTTGGGAGATGAAGGTGAGAGGATTGCCTGAGCCTGGGGGTTCGAGACGAGCCTGGGCAACATGGTGAGGCCTCATCTCTACAATGAATCAAAACATTAGATAGGCGTGGTGGCACAAGCCTGTAGTTTCAGCTACTTGGAAGGTTGAGGTAGAAGGCTCGCCTGAGCCCAGCAGGTCAAGACTGAGGTGACCGTAAGCAGCGTGCCACTGCACTCCAGTTTGGGCGACAAAGTGAGACTCCAGCTCAAAAAAACCAAAAACTGAATCTTAAATGTGGAGGCTCACATTATGTGAATATTATCCCAACATAACTGAGGAAAAAGATAATTCCTATGATGAATGCCAACAGAATTTTATAATACAAAGTCCTATGTGTATTATAAGCTTACCTCAAAATTCACAGGTAAGTTCCGTTTAAGTGCAATCTCGAACACTTGACTTATTTCAGATTTATTGAGATTTTCTTCTTCTGATTCTCTTCCATTCACCTAAAAGAAGAATAACTGTTTAACAGTTAACTCTTATTAAAACCATCAACATCCCAGCTGCAATGATAAACTTTAAAAGCACTGAACCTTGGCTGTATGAATTTCACCAAGGCCAGTTGCATACCACATGTCACTGAGGGGTTAAAAAAAGGATCCTGTCGAGCCGGGCTTGGTGGCTCAGCCTGTAATCCCGCACCTTTGGGAGGCTGAGGTGAGTGGATTGCCTGAGCCCGCGGGTTCGAGACCCGCCTGGGCAGGCGAGACCTCATCTCTACAATAAATCAAAAAATCAGCCGGGCGTGGTAGTGCATGCCTGTAATTCCGGCTACTCGGAAGGCTGAGGCGGAAGGATCGCCGGAGCCCAGCAGGTCGAGGCTGCGGTGGCCGGGAGCAAGCCACTGTACTCCAGTCTGGGCAACCGAGTGAGACTCCAACTCAAAAAAAAAAAAAAAGGATCCTGTCAAATTTGAGTCAGATGGGACCTAATAAATCTACCATAAACCATCCACACATCACAGGCCATCGGGTGTCAGTCATCCTAGCTGTGGCGGATAAGATCCACTGCCGTCTGGGGACAGTGACTTTCAAAGGACTCCTCATGTACTGTTAAGCCATGTTTTGGAAAAGTCAAGATACAGACAGACCTGTGTGGCACATGGCAAGTTCACACACAAGTCTGCTCACCTGAAGTATGCAGGTTTCTTATTTAGACAAAGTCCCTTGAAACCACTTTTTTTTTTTTGGTGAGTTGGAGTCTCACTCCGTCGCCCGGACTGGAGTGCAGTGGTACATTCATGGCCACCGTAGCCTCGACCTGCTGGGCTCTGGCGATCCTTCCACCTCAGCCTTCCAAGTAGCCAGAGCTATAGGCACGCATTACCAGGCATTGCTTGCTTGCTTGCTTGCTTGCTTGTTTAAGTATGTATGTATGTATGTATGTATGTATGTATGTATGTATGTATGTTGCCCAGGCTGGTCCTGAACCCACGGGCTCAGGCAATCCTCTTGCCTTGGCCAGAAACCACTTTTTAAAAGATTGCAGCTGGGCATGGTGGTGCATGTCTGTAGTCCCAGGTACTTAGGAAGCTGAAGCAGTTGGATCACTTGAACACAGGAGTTTGAGGCTATAGTAAGCCAACTGTGCCACTGCACTCCAGCCTGGGCAACAGAGCAAGACCCTGTCTCTACAATTAAAAAATAAACAAGACTGGGCATGGTGGCTCATGCGTGTAATTCCAGCACTTTGGGAGGCGGAGGCGAGAGGATTGCCTGAGCCCAGAGGTTCGGGCCCAGCCTGGGCAAACTGGTGAAACCTCGCCTCTACAATAAATACAAAAAATTAACCGGGTGTGGTGGCGCATGTCTGTGGTTCCAGTTACTTGGGAGGCTGAGGTAGAAGGATCACCTGAGCCCTCCAGGTCAAGGCTGCGGTGGCCATGAGTGAGCCACGGCACTCCATTCTGGGCAACAGAGTGAGACTCTGACTTAATCAATCAGGATGTGGTAAAACAGAAATTACAGAATCGCCATGTATCCCATTCTCTCTGCCATGGGCAAAAAGTCAAGGCGCCAACTAATAATGTCTCCACAAAAACGAGATTCACTGACTGCTCCAGGCAGAGAGTGGAGTTAGAGGGGGACAGGTGTCTTCCCTGCATGCTGCTGACATGGAGTTTAGACTGCTGTGGTGATGTGAAAAACGAGACAAGCTTAGAACCAGCTGAGTCCAGAATATGGCAAGGCAGCTGGAGATCTCTTCACCTTGCTGTTTCCCTTTTGTCAAAGAACTTGCAAAATCCTGTTTCCAAGATCAGAACGATCTGGTAAGAACCCATGGCTGAAGCCACTGAGACATAGGCAGAGGAGCCGGGCTCTCCATGCCCGTGTGGGCTGTGCACTTGTGTTCATCAGGCCTGTCCCATCTATACAGGACCAATGCTATAGGTTACATTTAAAATAAAAACGCCACGTTGAAAGGGGCCTATGAGCCGGGCTCGGTGGCTCAGCCTGTAATCCCGCGCCTTTGGGAGGCTGAGGTGAGTGGATTGCCTGAGCCCGCGGGTTCGAGACGCGCCTGGGCAGGCGAGACCTCATCTCTACAATAAATCAAAAAATTAGCCAGGCGTGGTAGTGCGCGCCTGTAGTTCCAGCTACTTGGAAGGTTGAGGCGGAAGGATCGCCAGAGCCCAGCAGGTCGAGGTTGCAGTGGCCAGGAGCGGCCACTGCACTCTAGTCTGGGCGACAGTGAGACTCCAACTCAAAAAAAAAAAAGGGGGCCTATGACTACAGTCACGGGTATAATGCTGACGAATAAACGTATTCTGGGGCTATTCACAATTCCTTCTCTCCTTCCACCAGAGTATTTTCTTTCCAGTCCGGTTTCATGTCACTGTCAGCCTCATCAAAACGATCTGCATAGCGTTTCTGGTGGTTTATTGCCCAAAACACACTTATATTTTTGTTGCCTAAATCCTAAGCAGAAAAAGGGCCTGCTTTAAAATGAGTGAATACTTAAAACCAGAAATCTTCAAGAAAGGTTCTTTAGAAGCCTGGGATTCCACAGAGATTTGGCTTGAAATTTAATATTTAAACAGATCTTAAACTTTTAAAAAACTGTATTTTTAAAGGTTTATTCAACAAATAGTGCTGAAAAAAGTAGATATCCACTTGCAAAATAATAAAGTAGGAACCTTACCTCACAGCATATTCAAAAATTAACTCAAAACGGATAAAGACTGAAACTATTAAGAGCTAAAACTATAAAGCTCTTAGTTCTCGAGAAAATGGGGAAAGATTGATGACAATGTATTTGGCAACGCTTTCTTAGATATGACACAAAAGCACAGGCAACAAAAGAAATAGACTACTTCATCAAAATTTAAAAAACTTGCTAATCAAAGGACACTATCAAGAGTGATGGCTGGGTGGTGGCTCACGCTTGTAACCCCAACATTTTGGGAGGCTGAAGTAGGAGGACTGCTTGAGATCAGAGTTCAAGACCAGTCTGGGCAGTATAGCAAGATCCTGTCTCTACAAAAAAAATTTTTTAATTAGATGGGTGTGGTGGCGGGCACCTATAGTCCCAGTTACTCAGGAGGCTGAGGCAGGAGGATCACTTGAGCCCAGGAGGTTGAGGCTGCAGTGAGCTAAGACTGTGTCACTGTACTCTAGTCTGGGCAAAAGAGCAAACCCCCGACTCCAAAAATAAATTAATTAATTAAAATTAAAATAGACTGAAGAAAATCCACAAATGGGGTTTACAAATCATAAGGATAAGGAATTAATACCCAGAATATATAAAGAATTATAACTTGGCCAGGGGCGGTGGCTCAGGCCTGTAATCCCAGCACTTTGGGAGGTCAAGGTGAGAGGGTTGCCTGAGCTCATGGGTTCGAGATCAGCCTGGGCAACTTGGTGAGACCTCATCTCTACAATAAATTTTTTTTAAAAAGTTGGGTATGGTAGTGCACTCCTGTAGTTCTAGCTACATGAAAGGCTGAGGCAGGATGACTGCCTGAGCCCAACAGGTCAAGGCTGCAGTGGCCATGAGTGTGCCACTGTACTCCAGCCTGGGCAACAGAGTGAGACTCCAACTTAAAAAAAAAAAAAAATTACAACTCAACAATGAAATAGCTCAATTCAAAAATGAGCAAAAGGACCTAAATAGGCATTTCTCCAAAGATATACAAATAGCTAACAAGTACATAAATGTTGTTTAGCATCACTAAGGCAAATCAAAACCTCAACAGGATACCGCTTCACACCCAGAAGGATGGCTATCTTCAAAATAACAGAAAATAGTAAGTGTTAGGATGTGGAGAAATCAGAAGACTTGTGCATTCCTGATGAAAATATAAACGGCACAGGTGCTATAGGAAAGAGTTTAGTAGTTTCTCAAAGAACTAAACACAGAATTAGGATATGATCCAGCAATTCCACTTGTAGACACAGACCCAAAGAACTGAAAGTGGGAGCTTGAAGAGATATTTGTACACCGATGTTCACAGCTGCATCATTCACAACAGCCAAAAGGTAAAAACAGCCCAAACAAACAACAGCAGATAAACAAAATGTGAAATATTCATACAAAATATTTAGCCTTAAAAAAGAATGAAATTCTGAAATAAGCTGTAATATGAATTAACCTCAAAGACATTATAATAAATGAAATACGCCAGACACAAAAGAACAAAAATCTATGTGTATGAGGCACCTGGACCAGGTAAATGCTCAAGACAGAAAGCACAGCAGAGGCCTGGGTAAGACCTGGCTCACGCCTGTCATCCCATCACTTTGGGAGGTGGAGGCGAGAGGACTGCCCGAGTCCAGGGGTTCGAGTCCAACCTGGACAACTTGGTGCGACCTCGTTCCTACAATAAATCAAAAAATTAGTCAGGCATGGTGGCATGTGCCTGTGGTTCCAGCTAGTCAGGAGACTGAGGTGGAAGAATTACCTGAGTCCCATAGGTTGAGTGAGGCTGTGGTAGCCTATAAGCATGCCACTGCACTCCAGCCTGGGTACCAGAATGAGACTCCTAGTCAAAAAGAAAAAGAAAAAGCTCTCAAAATGGATAGTGGTGATAGCTGTACAACACTGGAAAGATGTCTATAACGCTACTAAACTGTACCCTCAAAAATGGTTAAAATATTTATATGTAAAATTTACCTCAATTCTTGAAAAAGCTCAAAAGTATCATAACAAATAGTAACACAGTAACTCATGTTACCAGGTTAACTCATTTTTGTGCAACAGAAGAAAGTTTTTTGGCAGATGTTTACTGGAAGAGTAGCCAAAGATTTTCTCAACAGATGACCTTTAAAAATAAATGATCCGGCCATTGACTCTGGTGTGACCATGTGCTCTTTCAGCTATGGCTATTGCCATACTTCCTGGCTTTGGCTCCCTCCCTCACCATGGGGAGGTGAATCATCTCTCTAATTTACTTTTAAATAAACTATATTTTCTAATCTAAAATAAATAAATAAATATAAAAATAAAA